CCTGTCACACAACCCTGAGAACCTGGATTCAGATCCCCAGTACCCATGCAGGAAGCCAGGCATGAAGGCATGTGCCAGTAACTTCACCATGGGGGTAGAAAAGGCAGAGCCTTAGACCGTGCTAGACAGACAACAGTCTGTGAGCACTAGGTTCAGTGAAGGACTGTCTCAAAAAAAAAAAAAAAAAAAGTACTAATCAGGTCATGGTGGCACACGCCTTTAGTCCTAGCACTCAGAAGGCAGAGGCAGGATTTCTGTGATTTCAAGGCCAGCCTGGTTTCATGGTCTCAATAGGGATTTCCAAAACAGCGAGCATTACATACTGGGACTCTGTCCCAAATGTTCTACATTGTCAAACAAACAAACCCTAAAATAAATAGTAAAGGAAGACACATGATGTTGATCCATCCTCCATATGTGTACATGTAAACACTTTCATAAGCACATACGTGGACACTCCCCTCTTCCACACGCATGCACATGTAAAACTCAACTATGTCATGTGAAGGAAACTTCGTTTTCACACTATTTAAAGATAACTTCCTCTCAACACCACCTCAACCAAAGTGGCTCTGCTTCTGTCTTACAGGCTGCATTACAAGGGTTCTGAAGGAGTCTGCTGCTAATTACATATCTGCTATCACATCATCTCTGTGACCAGAGACGGTTCCCTAGATGCCACCTTACCTCCAGCTCCAGCTCCTGAGGTTCCATTTCAGAAAGTGACAATACAGCAATTTTGGTAACTTTACAGACCTCATGGTCTCCTGGGAGTTTGCCCACCAACGCTTTCTGCCGAATTAAAATAAGCCACCATGGAAGATCTGAAAGAAAAAAAATCTAATGAATGGATTATGTTCACAGAGTGCTGCTGGCCTGGGGGTGAATGACCTAACAGTAACAAAATGTAAAATACACAATAAAGGCACACAAAAACAGTCCCTTAAACAAGAGATGTCCAGACTCACTCAAAGAAATGTAAATCACACAAAAAACACTTGTATCTAGATTTCGGGGAAACAAGAATTCTCATACAGCAGTGCTGGTAGGATATCAAAGACACGCCTTAACTAGAAACACAATTTATGACGCCTGGAAGAACTATTTTATGAGACGATGACCCGAGTGTATTAAGTGAAGAGCTTGGCTGTGTTACTAATGTATGCAACATCGTAACATCGCTGTGCTGCACTATCAGATGCATCCGATGACGTGGCTCCAAAGCATCATAATGGATCTGGGAAATTCCCACTGCCTAGTGATACAATGGCACAGCTCAGTGTGTCACTCATTTTGATTTGTTTGTAGTGACGATGAATTCCGGTTCAATCAAACTTACCAAGCTGTCAGTGGTACAAAAATAACAGTATACAATTATATACAGAACATCAGACTCAACTGAATATACACACTGTGTGGCGTTTGCCACTGATGTATCATGGGAATCTGCTCTGGGGCAGTGGCTCTCAACCTGTGGACGGCAACCCCTTTGGCAAACCTCTATTTACATCTATTTACATCTATTTACATTACGACTTATAACAGTAGCAAACAAAATACAGTTATGAAGTAACAAAGAAAATAATTTTATGGTTGGGGCCAACACACGATGAGAAACTATATAAAGGGTCACAGCGTTAGGAAGGTTGAGACCCAGTGCTTTGGGGGATGATACTGAGAGCTGAGTCCAGGGCTCTGCACAGACACTCTTACTGAGCTGCATCAGCAGTCCTACCTACAATCACCTTTTATTTATTCTCACACTTCCCTTGCCGAGGAACTGGGGTCAGGTCCCAGCACCCACCTAGCTGCCTACAACTATCTGTAACTCTAGTTCCAGAGGATCCGGTAGCCCTTTTGACAGCCACAGGCACCAGGCATATTTCTAGTGAATGTACATACAGGCAAGCAAAACACCTACACACATAACAAAATAATCTAAAGGTTTTTAAGTTTGCTATAAAACATTGCATCAAGATAACGTTGGCATCAGCCTACGTCATACTTGTGTTATATTTACCATAAACTCTGGCCTGAATCAGCAGGCTATGCCAAGTGATTCGTGCTCTATCAAAAGACTTGTATCCTAATAATGGTCCTACAATGAAGAGGTCACTTCACAACCTACTTATGGAACACAGCCCGGTCATTAAGCAAAGCATTCTATATTATGATAATATAAGACATATTTTATTAAATCAAAGTACAAAAAAGTGCAGCAGTCCCTCTTTACTTTCTATAGTTTTAGTCACTTGTGGTCAACTCTAGCCTAGAAGCACCAAATGGAAAATTTCAGAAATAAACAATTGGAACTTTTCAATCTTAGATCAGTAAGGTGGGCTTGATAGTGGTCTGTAATTCCAGTGGCCCAGGATGCTAAAGCAGGAGTACTATGAGATCAAGGGCAGTCTGGGCATCTCAGCAAAGGAAGGGTCCAGGGGACTGAAGAGATGGCTCAGCAATTAAGAACACTGTTCTTGCAAGAGACTCAGTCCCAGCAACTGCAGGCAGCTAATGACCTTCCATAATTCCAGTTCTAAGTGATCCAAACCCTCTTCTGGCCTCATGGGCACTGAAGGGCTCTAGCAGGCCCGAGCACAGCAAACAGGTTTTGCCTTTTACCCTTCTCCCCAATTCCCTCTGCTTTGCTAAACTGTTAGATTACATTCCCAAAGCTAGCCACCAAGGTCTATTCCCTTAATTGGCCACTTCCTTCCCCTGACTACCAAGGTCCAGCTATCAAAGTACTGAAGTCCCCAATCAAAAGCCCCTTTGGCTCACCTAATTAATTTGCTCAAAATTAACCTATTCATCTTAACACAGGGTTTCCCCCTCTTCCTTTATAAACTGCCTATGGGTCATTTCTGTCTCCTCTCTATCCAGAGGCAGTCCTTTGTCCCTCCTGGACAAATACGCCTTCCCCTTCACCCTTGCTCCTTTTCCCTTCTCCCTCATCTTCTATTTCCCATCTGTGTCTCTTATTCTCTGCCCTTTGTCCCTTTGGGGTAAATAAATCTCTTTTGTGCGAAGACCTTGGTCTTGGGGTATCCTGTGCCAATTCCGGTCCTTTCAGCCACTACATGCACATAGTGAACAGACACACATTCAGGCAAGACACACATATGAAATAAAAACAATGTAATTTTTTTTTTTAATTTAAGTAATGACCAGTGAGGTGGCTCAGTGGGAGATTCACATGCCACAAGCCTGACCACTTGAGTTTGATTCCTAGATTCCATGGTGGAAGAAGGATCCGATCCCTGAATGTTGTCCTCTAACGTCCACCATGCTATGTCACACACTCTCTCTCTCACATACATACACACACACACACACACACGCACGCACACACGCATGCATCACAAATAATATAATAAATAAAATTTAAAATAGAAAGACTGGAATAGTAGCGTCCCACTTCAAAAACAAATTAATAAATTGTATGCCACTATTAACAGTGTAATAAAAGCACATTTCATTAACTCTGACTCATGAGCAAACCACCCTTTGTCAAACATGCCCGTGCTGTATATGTTAGCTGCCCATCAGTCATCCAGCCCCCAGCGGGCTCCCACAGCACTGTCCAAGCAGCCCTACACAGAACCCTAATGCTGCTACATGTTTGCTGTCATCTACCTTACTTTAGCTCATTACTGCTAATCTCTTATTAAACCTAATTTGAAAGTTAAACCTTACCAAGGTATTACAATTAGAAAAAAATATAGTACGGCCAGGAGCTGTTTATGACAGGGAGACATTCTAAGAAGCGTGCTGTTAAGTGATCCATGTGAAAACATTATGGGGTGTACTTCCAAACTGAGACAGCTGTGATGCCAACAGGTCATGCTCTTACTGACCACTGTGGCATCTTACTGTTGACAGCACACGACTGTGCACATAGGATATGGTCCTACCTGCCACTTCAGGCATCCACTGAGGATGAAGCATACCTCTCCAGAGAGAAAAGATGTTGAGCCTATGTTGTTCCACCTCCATAAGATGGGAGGTGTGATAACACCATATACATATGTAGATTCATTTAGAAAAAAAACAAGAGGAGAACTAAGCCAGAAGTTAATGCTACTGTTTAATGGAAAGAGGGAAAGTAGAAATGAGGTAGAGAGGGACATAGGAGAATAGGACAGAAAAGAAGAGGGAAGAGTTGGGGCTGGAGAGATGGCTTAGTGGCTGCTCTTGCAGGGGACATGGGTTTGATTCCCAGCATGCATGACAGCTCACAACCATCTGTAACTCTAGTTCCAGGCAATCCAACACTCTCCTCTGGCTTCCTTGAGCACCAGGTATGCACATGGTGCACAGACAGTACACCCACATACATACATACATACATACATACATACATACATACATACATACATACA